ATGTGATCCATTGGTTAAAAATAAATGGGTCAGTTTTTCTCATACCTACTCTTTTTCACTGTTTGACTTGATCAAGACTTTTCTAAGATTTTACACTACAAAATAGGTAAAAGTGTGTGACTTGTACTGTTTTGGTTATGAATCAATATCGGTATCGGACAATTCTCAAAGTTGCAATATCGGTATCGTATCGGAAGTGAAAAAGTGGTATCGGGACATCTCTAAGAATAATTACATTGATAAGGTAACCATGCTGTGGCTTCACCTGTTGCATCTTCATTGCAAAAAACAAAAAATAAAAAAGCTTGCAAAGCTGTCACACCATTGCTACGTAAAAAAGTATTTATAGCACAGACAGTTTCCCACACTCTCGTAGACATGAATAGTGTGAAGGAGAAAGTGTCCTTTACCCGATAAGACTGGAGTCTTGGATATACTGTAGAGCCCGATCAGAATAAGCACCAGTAGTATCAGACGAGTTCTCCTTAGGGAGTCTTCACAGCCAGAACAAAACAAATCACATCAGAAACATTTATTAATCAATTAATCAATCCACTGCATTTATTTTAAATTTTACCAGGCAAATCCGACTGAGATCATAGATCTCTTTTTCAAGGGAGGCCTGGGCCTGCAGGCAGTCTAAACATATATTTTTGGATTGTGAGACTAAATCAGAGGACCTGCAGAAAACCCTTGTAAGCATGAGAACATGCAAACTCCACATAGAAAGATCCTGGGTCCATACCAGGGTTTGAACCAAGGTTATAATAATTTTGGATTTTTCATTATAGTTTAGTTTTAATTTGTTTTGACTTTTTTTCTATTACTCAGTTAGTTTTAATTAGTTTTAACAGTGGATTTGCTAGTTTTTTTTAGTTATTATTGCATTTTTAATGCTTAGTTTAGTTTTTAATAGTTCTAGTATTAGTTTTTTTTATAGTTTATTTGCCAATGCATCTTCAAGCTTGTGATGTTCCTGTGAGTTAACTAACCAACAGCTATTTGATCACTAGTTAAAACAGTCCATTATAGCAACACCTTCCTAAAATAATTGCGTAACACAAATTAGCCAACTGAGGATTTAGGCGATTATTTTAGGATAATGATAATAATTGTCTCTAACCCGGGGATACCTGTTTGTTTTTCACAAGAGCTACTGAGAGAAGCTAGTGTGTCAAGATAGTCATAGTTAGCCATCTTGTGAGAGCTTAATTCATGCAGTTTTTCCCTTGAGAAGTATTCCACCTGTTTTATCACCTGTTTCCACTACAAGACACTTGCTTTGATTTATTTTTCTCTCAGTCAAATTTAAAGAAAGCCTAAAGTGAACATTGCTGCTTTCTCCCAACTTTTGCTGTCGTCATTTAGCAGACGATGCTGAGCAGCAGCTGATTGTAATCAAGTGTTGTTACGGACCATGAGGTGCTGTAAACTGCCCACAGCTAATGTGAAGAAAAAAAAATGGACAAACATTAAAACTATTTTCTATCTATAATTTTAGTTAGTTTTGTACGAAGATTATACAGTTTTAGTTAGTTATTGTTCTTTCATTTAATTACAGTTTTTATTTATTTCAGTTTAGGGCTGCCACGATTAGTCGATTAATTGACGAC